TGTCGGAAAATTGAATGATTTTGGACAATTTGCTACACAAAATTCTTTGGATTTTCTGGTAGTCGGTGACAAAACAAATGACGGAAACGAAATGCCATACTTTTCCGGTGGGCCTTATAGCCCGCCATACTCATTTGAAAGTGTCGATTGTTTGTATTTTTTTTTGGGTGATTTGCTACAAGCTCATTTTTTTATGAGCATCAAGTCCTCAATCAGTCATTCACGAAAATCAACCTGCCATACCGCAGCGACGGGCCCGCATAGCCGCCATACCGGCACAAAGATGTCATTTTTGTTAATAATTTTGGGCGATTTGCTACAGTATGGCATTTGGATTTTCCGAAAGTTCATGCTCCACATTGACCCATGATATATGTGCCATACTCGTCATGAAGGCTAAAGATGGCGCCATACTCGAAAATCTGTTTTCTTAAAACATCTTTGCGCTATAACTGGGACAAGCAAGAAACCTTGAAAACGACCTTCTCGCGAGCTTCAGAAAAATGATTTTATTATTAAAAATTGGTAACACAATCCATTCAAAAGAATAATTGTTCTAAATTGATTAACTTATCCCGACAAGATATCGTACTCGCGTTTAACAATTACTCGTCATCGGTATCGGATTCCTCAACATCGTCATGGGTCTCTTCTGTTTCGTTCCCATTGCCCTCGACACTACTCAAATCGATTTGATTTTCATTCTCTTGGTCAATGCGATCCAGAATGATATATCCGACAGTAGTGGGCATGTCGTCGCCGTCGAACCAATTAAATTCATAATTATCTGTGTGCGTTAACTTCCATCCGTAATATTCATGATGACCATAATAATATATAAAATATATAAAATTATGTCGATTGGTATTTCAGATGCACAGTGCCAACTTTCTTAATTATGAAAGCATCTAAATGAAATTTGATACCTATATGCACTTAGAGGTGCAAAATTTGGTCTTGAACTGCTATAGCCATACCCAGGAGCTCGTTTGCTATATTTGTTTAAACGTTTATTATTATTATTATTAGTGTTATTTTAATTTGTATAATGTTCAAATTTTCATCGTTTCTTAATTCGGAATAAATACAACTGCTCTGAAAATTTTATCAAAATTGATCAAAGCCACTGGGTGTTCAGATACTTATGGCGGGTAGTGTAGTATAAACTTGACGGCACACGGCAGCTACTACCTACTACCTGCGATCCATTGAATGCAATGCAGAACACAACGACCCCGACCGGAACCTCTTCAACTTGACTAAGAAGTTCGAGTGGGAGGAGAATATTAAGCGACATAACATCTCGTGATAAAACAAGATTGGCCTGGGAGTCATGTTTGAAACTTGATATTTACTTTTATTACACCTCAAACTGTCACGAAACATTGGTGCCATACTGTAGCAAATCGCCCAAATTTTCGGAAAATTCTTACATTTTTGAAAAAATATTATACATAATTGGCCCATGCCACAGGTATGGCGTATCGAACTTTCTATTTCTGCCTATAAAAATAACTGGTGGAAAAATTTATAGGGTGTAGAAAATCGCCCAAAATTATTAACAAAAATGACATCTTTGTGCCGGTATGGCGGCTATGCGGGCCCGTCGCTGCGGTATGGCAGGTTGATTTTCGTGAATGACTGATTGAGGACTTGATGCTCATAAAAAAATGAGCTTGTAGCAAATCACCCAAAAAAAATACAAACAATCGACACTTTCAAATGAGTATGGCGGGCTATAAGGCCCACCGGAAAAGTATGGCATTTCGTTTCCGTCATTTGTTTTGTCACCGACTACCAGAAAATCCAAAGAATTTTGTGTAGCAAATTGTCCAAAATCATTCAATTTTCCGACATGTTTAAACAATCGTCACGCAATAACGGCCCCACTCCCAGAGGGTTAGCACCATTTTCGTTTCGAGGAGTACTTAATTAATCCTTTGAATGGTCGTCATACTTGTAGCAAATCACACCACAAAAAGTGTCATCATCTCCCGGTCTAATAAGGAAGTAGCGTCAGCATGCGTTTGGTGAACTCCCGAAGACCAAAAGTTAAACATGTCTTCCTTAACTCATGGACTCCGTCCTAAATTACGTTATTAGTATGGAGTATATTTACCGGTTTTTAAGTTTTTAAAGATAAAATGAACAGATACAACCTTTTTACTTTATGGTTATAAAGGATACTAACGTAATAGATTAAATTTAGTTCATTCTATTAATCTAACAGGCACGAAAAATGATCTTTCAACACGTTGTTTGATGAAGTGGGAGAAGATGAATCAAAATTCTTCAATTTCTTCAGAATGTCACTTCCATAATTTGATCAAGTGTTGGAATGGCAGATAAATGTTGTGTGAAAAGGCCCCAATCTAATCCTATACGCCAGTACTTGACTGCAACGTTAAAGAGCCGTTGATTTTGCCCGACTGCAGACTGTCTTCGTCACTGTGTGGGAAAACTTTAATCTAATTCAACGCGCCGCAGAAATAGCGACGGCAGCGGCACAAAAGCGCTGTATGAAACGGGCCTTATATCGCTTTCCAACTTTTTTCTGTAATATCATATGCCTTCTTTCGCTCTATTCTTAATACTTCTTTTCCTAGCACTTCTGCCATCTTTCATTTTTTATATATGTCCTAATTGAGATGCACGTTCTTGTCTTTAGTTGCATCTTTGCGTTGATGTTCACCGATCCCACCTTCTGTTCATTTATTTTCGATGTCCACTGTTATTTGAAAATAAATAACTCTTGAACCAGTTCGATCAGTATAAAAATTACGATTTTTTGAGGTTAGCATGTTCCTGATCCAATATTGGTAGTTTCTTTGTAATGCAACGGCTAGGTATTATGTAAAACCGAATTGCACGCACTCGTATAGCTTTGATTTTATTTTTTATATAACAAAAATGTCACATTATTGCAATTTGCCCTGACGGATAGCTCAAAAATCAAAAGTAATACATCTACTTCCACAAGGGTTTTTCGATAATATTAAAAAAAATGTTCCCCACGGAAATTGTTGTATTAAAGTTTGGAACCTGAAGGCTGGTAATGACTCTCAACTCTCTCGGGAAGGCCTCCTTACATTGACATCGATTTGGAAACTGGATTAGTAAAACATGCGTATTCGAAACCTTCCGTCGGAAAACGTCTTTGGTGTGTATTATTCAATGGAGAGTTTCCTTCTGGAGTTATCCGTTCGACTGGTTAGTTCCTGTGTTTGTAGGTTACCAACGAGCAAGAGTTTAATTATCATCACAAATTGTTAATTTTAGAGGACAAACTTCCACTATGCACGTTTGTAGACAACATTTATATTAACATTCTACTAAGTGTGGGTGTTTAAAAACTTTTTCTCTAATCCTCCCTATTTGGTGTTAGTTACTACTGCCTCCTTTTTATATTAAATGTAGTAATTAATTTTTAATATTCTCGAAAGCCCAGAAGAAAGGTCGTGCTTTCCCACTGAATTTCAGCTGACTTAGCTTTCTTTACGATTTAATGCTGATTTGCAATTTTAACCGAATAACCCTAATTAAGAAGACGAAATCTGATATAAATACCAGACGTCTCGGCTCGAAAGGTTTCCGAAACCATTTAAGAAAAATGCTGCGTTGAAATTAGATAAAGCAGCCAAGATGAGTTTCTCGTCTATTACGGTTGATAAATCTATTCTTTGAATTTCCACCAAGAATATTATTAAGGATCCTCCGATTCTTTATAGTTTTGTATTGTCCGTCCGTCTGTTCGTGTGCGCTATAGCTCTTTTTAAAAGTGGCCGATCATGTTGAAAAAATGGTCAAAGTCCTCGTGTGAGATCGAAGGGACTTCAGCGCATTTTTGTGTGGCAGATCAGTGTTTTATTAGCCAATATTGACTCCACCATCAATAAGATCTTGCCGAAAGCTACCACGTTCACTTTGTCGGTACCATTTTCTCATTTACCGTGCACTCGCAATTCGCGTTTGAAGTTTTGACTCCACCATCAGTAAAATCCTTTGGGGGTTACCATATTCCCTTTGTCGACACCCACTTCTGATCACCCGCAACAAATCGGATTTGAAGTTTCGACTCCACCATCAGTAAGATCTCGTCGGGGGTTACCACATTCCCTTTGTCGATACACAGTTCCGACGTCCCGTTCATTCGTAATTCACATTTTGGTAGATTTCGCTAAAATTCCGGCATAAAATCGTATTCAACTTTTGGGTACTTCACATAGCTCGACCTTCTATTAGTGACACGAGAAAGAGAGACCGCGATTCGCGCTGTAAGAAACTTTTGGGCGCCCAAAGTCGACTGCCCCTCGAAGCGCGCCGCGCAAAAGGTGGTTTATTTCGCCCCTAGGAAAAAAAACAAAATTCCGCCACGCAGGAGTTGTGCGCGTTGGCAAGATCTTCCCGACGACACCAATTTGAAAACAATCGGAGAAAAACTGTAGAAGAAGATAGATAAAAACTGAAATATCTCCAGGTTAGTATAATACGCTTGGGGATGGCGTCCAGATGTCGTCGACTCCAAATCTTGTAGCCCCATCCCTAACGTTCTTAATTACACGGCCCCGATAGTTACATGTACACTCCTTGTCTTTTTACAAGCGTTTTTCTACGGGCGCGCATTTACTGCCAGCCAGCCGGCCAGCCAGCCAGCCAAAGTGAGATTAAAAGCTACTTTTTACAAAAAAAAATTTTGCAAAAATGCGCTAAAAAGTCATAGGACTTCGAGTGAATCGGGAACAGGAAAAACTGTGTGTTTACTGTTCAGTACAATAAAAAACCAACATATTTCTTTCCTTAGATCATGTATTGAGTTCGGACTTTCGCGAGATTGTTCCGTATGACTCTTAGATGTGTAGCAATATTTCGCTATCCGCTTGGTTCCAGCTTTGAACATACAATAACGTATTTGTACCAAAATATTCTGTTACAATGGTCATATAAAAAAATGCAATTTGTTACTATCAGATAAAATGGTGCATTACAGATATTTGTTTTAGTCTACATTGGAAATTGCACCACGTGGAATTGGTAGGAAGATGTTTACTAATAGCCGAGAGCGTTGGCGTCAACAGAATGTGAGCGGAGCTTTTGCTGAATTACGAAAACTCGTACCAACCCACCCTCCAGACAAGAAGCTTTCTAAAAATGAAATATTAAGGATGGCAATCAGGTATGTATTTATTACTATTATTAAATAACATAACTATAAGATTTCTTATAAGTTAAACAAGGTTTGTCCAGTTTTCAAATTGATTTTGTTTATTGTCGATCGCTACAAGTAGTGGACTGTATATAACTTTTGGGTATGGTTGAAGAAAGCACTCTTGAACTACAACTGTTTATTGATTTACTATACTACTTCAACCAAACGCTTAATACTACTCGAAGTGAATAATAATTTCTTTAGGGTGGCAACCGGTTAGGCCTTAACTTCTCCCTCCACTAATCATGGCCGTAACAGATTTGGAGAGGTTGAACGTTTTTCTGAAACCTTAGAATTGACGTAGAATTTTGTTTCTGTTAGTTGTCGTTAAACATGCTTTTATGGATTGGATGTGAATTTCTCCTTATTTTCATTTTTATTACACAGTTTCTATAATTTTGCAGGTTTTCAGTGGATTGATATTGTATGCCCTAAACATACTTGCCTTTTTGAAAATACACCCAACAGTGACATACGCTTTTAAAATCGACCCTAATTTATTTTCTGTTTCTCATATTTAAAGGAAAAACCACTTCAATTCATAAGTTCCATATCGTTGTTACCGGCGATATTTGAAACTCCGCTTCGTCGCCCGAATTGATACCCACGTGCGTTGCTTATCTCAAACGTGGCATTGTTTATCACAGAACTAATTGATTTTTGTTTGATAAAACCCTTTTTCTAAACACCTGGCTTTATTAAACTTTCCACATTACAATTAAATTTCAATTACACGATCCCTTATATATGCGTTTTAAATAATAAATAGAATTAAATTAATTAAACGATTACTGACTGACTTTACAATAAATAACTAACATTTAAAATGACAATGTAACAACTTTTCTATTTTTGTGTCTATTTGAAATAAAATTCCGCAGATTCTCTGAAAGAACTTGAATGATTTTACATTATAGAATATCCCGACTTTCCAATACTTTTCAGGATCCCATATTAGAGAAATGTTTACTGAGAGTATCACATACTACATTTATTTTACAAACATCTCTTTGGGAGTAGAATATTAATAGAGTAGAGTAAAACATTTGCACCATTTTATTCTCTTATTACCGTACTTCTGAAGATGTAAGAGTGTCTCTAGAATTATCATCCATAATAGCAGGGAAATATATGCTCTAGACCGACAGATCAATGTTCATTTTCAATAATATTGTAGTATATGACCGTGGAGAATATTAGCATAGTATAAACCTAAAAATAGCGTTACACATCGATTAAGTTTGGCATTCATTAGTAATACATGGAAAGTATGTATTTATTATAATTTTATTATGCATCAGATAACTCACAGACGGTATTATTTTCGATTTTCCCATGCAATTTTTACCAGGGGCGAGAAGCTCGACGGAACCTTGCATTATTTCAGAACCAACTTTGTTTAATAATTCTAATTAAACAGATCTTTTAGTTATGTAATTTGGACCTTCAACTCTTACAATGGATGTTTGCCTTATATTTAATTATAATGAAAATGAATGATCTTGCATTCTTTTATACTAGTTGTCTAGGATGCGTGACATAATTGCTCTTTACGGTTGCGTAAAACGTCCGCATTTCATTAATTAGGTTACAGATGTAATTGTAGTTTACTTGTTCCGAGCCTATATTAAATTGAGAATGAAAGTTGGCGGGGAGGTGAAATGTGGACAGAAATCCATTTATTCTTAAATTTTAATTGCAGTCATTGCTTTTACTGCCCGTAAGTAACCTTGTAGTTATTTTCGAACTTTTATAAGACGATTAATTAGTCGGTACAATGTCAACATGTAAAGTATACTGGTAAGTATACCTACTATTTTTATTCCCACGCGTTTAACGAAGATATTCGTAAATTTTACGTAAAGAACCATTGCGTGGCGTCCAATATTAAATTGCGTGATTTTAGTAATAACTATTCTAAGAAAAGCGTACCTGAAATGTGAAATGCTTTTTAGAGAATACCGAATAGCCTGCTAATGGTGAATTTCCATGTTTTAGTTTTGGTGGAGTTCCCACTATGTTGTACATGTCTGTAATATACGTGGAAAGAGCGCGATTAGAGTTTATTACTGAAAAGGAAAATCAGCATTTCCTTTTAGCACTTTAGGTCTTAACAAAACGAAGTTTTCTATCAACTACCGCCCTTCTTTCTAGCTTTTATCAAAAAAAGGGGTGTGGGAGGGGGGGGGGATCCTTAATGGTACTCTAATGAAAGGTCTCAACGAAAGAAATTTCTACCAAATTTCTCGACCCCTTATCGTGATCGGATATAATTCCTTATACCTCAAGAACAGACTGAAGGAGGAGGGTATTCACAAAGAGCGATTGACACGTCTGGAACCAATATTTCCATTGGTAATGTCAAAACTTTAAGACGGAGGAGGGTACTTTCAAACGGCGGAAAGGTCGTCTAGACGAGAGACAAAGTTAATATTCTCCAAAGGTTTCGTTATACTTGTAGTTAAACAGGAACAATGTTTATAGAATGAGGTAGAATCGTGTGATTGATTTCATCAGATGGCAGTGGAATTTTCCAAGGAACTTTCTTGTGCAATATTGAGAAAATTAAAAACTCGATGTAGGCATCAGGTGAATAGTAACGAACAAAAGAGTAAGTCAGAAGTAAGAAGCTTAAAAATCATTATTCAAAGTCAAAAGTACAGCACAATTGTTGGTCCGTACCGAAAACGGCCTTAAAACTTGTAAAATATATCCGCAACAAGCATTAGCGAAGTATCGAAAGTAAATCACAAGAGACAAACTTCATGCGTGCGCGCACCGAAAGAATTGAGAAAACCTCTACGCGACATCTGGCGGCAAAAATAGAAACTATTGTAAAAGAAATCTAATAACACTTGGATGGTTTCTAACGGAGAAAATAAAGAACTAAGGTGATAAATCTACTACAGGAATTATTTACATTTTCACTAAACGGGTTTACAAAGGAAATACCTAGATGGCGTGAGAATTTAAATAAGAGGACATTTCGAAGAGTTACTTAAACGGAATTTAAATTGGGAATAAAATAAGGTTAGTAGGTAATTTGTTGTTTGCGTATATCTGTGGTACTACTGTTAAAACTTTAGTAGGTCCATAAAATAATGAGAGTTACATCTGCACATGCGCGTACCCACTTTTTCACACGTTTAATATAATTGATCAATTTGTCTTTATAAAAGGTGCTACTGTTAAAATTTCGTTACGATTGGGCCACAAATAAGATGGATACTTCTGCACATACGCGCACGCAGGCTTTAAGATGTTTAGTATTATAGATCGATTTTCATTTATAAAAATGTGCTACTCTCAAAATTTCAGTAAAATCGATCCATTATTACGCCTGCAGCTTTTCACACGTTTTGTATAATTGATGGGTTTGGTCTTTAAAAAGTTGATACTGTTAACAGTGGCGGATTTATACTTTTGCCGCCCAGGGGCTTTGGGAAACTTGCCGCCCCTAGATCACTCTTACCACAAAAATAGCCCACAACTTCATAAATCCTATGGCTAAAAAATAAAATCGCAATCTAAGGGAGTTTATTGGTTCGTGGACTATTCGACTACAGAACAAATGCTTATAAGTAATAAGTATTTTTATTTGATTATTCAACAATTTATTGGATTAATCAAAACAATTTTCCGCCCCCCCCCCCAAAATTTGCCGCCCTGGGCCCGTGCCCTTAGTGCCTCCCTCTAAATCCGCCTCTGACTGTTAAAATTTCAGCAAGATCGGTCCATTAATAAGGAAGTTACTTTTGCGCATGCGCAGAAGGATTTCGCTTACCACTCGGAAACAGGTGTCGTCTCTAAGCGACAACCAATAAACCTGCAACAATTTACGTGCTATCGTGCTAACAAACCGGACAGCAACAACTTTTTTCTTTACTTCTGTTCTACTTTCTTCCTTCTTTACTAGTTTTACCAAAGAGCTCTTTGGTTTTACTTCGCTATTTATGTTAAGGAAAAATGGAACCAACGAAATTTCCGCGTCCAGCGTCCCCTTTAAGGCAATAGAAGACCCGCATTTTTGTTATCTCGGTTCTAGAAAAGGGAACCAGCCAATGCACCCTGCTAACTTGGAAAAAAACGCATGCGTTCTAAATGCTCAAATTTACCCATTCGAAAAATTTAAACTTCCGTTGCAAACTACACGATAATCTCATGGTGCACAAAGCTCAAAAAATCATCGATGAATGGGGTTTTCAGAAATTAACACCCTCGCTCTATAATCCGGGCGACTACTTTTCCTTTCCCGGTGCCTGGTGGGATTAGTATGCAGAGGTACGGTCGATATATGAAAACATAATTTTGTCTGCCTTTATTCTGTTTTCTGTTTAAATCTTTTCATCAAGCCTAAGCTACCTAAATCTTTCTTTACAAAATGAATAACTCTATTATCTCTTCCCTTTTCTTGTCAAGTTCTATTGCCTAAAATATTAACCATGCCAAACAAAACAATGAAAACCACTGCTTTGATTACTCCACAAAAAAGCAACATGTGACAAATAAATTCACAAGAACAATGAGCTACAAAATTTCAAACTAAGAATAAGGTCTGTATCCGTCCCCTAAATTCCTCCTTGCTTTTAATAACTAATAATATAACAGAAAGTGCGCTCGAATCTTCAAAAACAAACCAGAAACACATGCCCCCACATAGAAAGCGGACACTTTCAAAAAATTACAAAAATAACAAAGTTGGAATAATTTCCGAACAAGTCTGCGTGTCATCATTACACTGGCACTCGGCCTCCAATGCTTTCTCTGCTTCAAATGGGAGTGGACATATCTTGACAAATGATCTCCTGATAATGCCATGCTGCAAGCAAACGTTTTCCTTTCTGTTCTTTCAAGTGAGGAAGTTTCTCGTCGATGGTTCGCAGGATTTGCTATTGGCGTTCATCCTTTCTCAAGCATGCAGGTCCGTGCCACCAAAGATTGGACAAAATTTGTATGGGTTTCAGGCCTACCTCTTGAGCCCAAATCGACCGGAGTGGAGTCTTTGTATATCCGAAATTCGGTTTTCAATCTATTTGTCTAAACAGAATTAAAAATTTGTCGCGCTGGTACTTAGGTAATAATTTATTTCTTGTTTTAGATACATTCGTCTATTATTAAACGTTTTGGAATGGCAGCGGCGACAGGACGGTCCGATTCAAATTAAATGCGAAGATCATTATCGGCACACAAGCAATTCGCAGCACATTTTGCGAATGCGTGCCCGTCTTCGTCGCAATCAACAGCTTCCGGCGCATCCGATGTGCGACAGGAACGGTAACAATCTCTTGATGATCGCCCCAGGTAGCCATTTGGGATTTCGAAACGTCGCAATTCTGGACTTGCCCCATTCGAATCGCATTAAAACGGAACAGGAAGAGAAGGAGAATAACGAGGACAAGGCAATGAACATAACTAAGGAATGTTAAACTTGAAATCTGTATATTATTAAACTCTTTGTGTATATTACTCTTTACTCCAAATAATAATTTGGTTATTGACAGATAAATGAAATGCAAAAGTCGTGTAAAGAACAGGTGGGCATGAGCTGTGGAAGGCCACTTCCTCGCCGTACACCTTTAGGGGTGACGTCATCAAGGTAGCGGCCTTGTTTAGTGTTCCAGCAAGACTTGAAGTAATGGCAGAGTTCTTTGGTCAAACGTGATAGTCACAGTCACCATTTACTTAAAATTGTTCTTTGCGCATTACTGATTAGCGGGCATGTACAGAATTTAGGCATTTGGCCGGTCGAAATTTATTCAACCGCGTACCAATGGTCGGTGAGTGATCGCATTTAAAACGGGTTATTTACGTGTAAAATTTTGATTAACATAATACAAGGTAAGTTTGTTTTAATTATTTGTCTTTGTGTTTTTTGGGCTAGTAATACCTATATATAGTAATTGCGTTCATAGTAAACTAGAAACCTGTGTCGTGCGTGTTGGCAACTTTCTCTCGGTATATTAAGTAATATCTACTATTGGAAATTTCAATTATCACCTACAATGAATACATGTTAGCGGGTTTGCCTTCGTTTCTAAATTTTCATTAATCGATGGAGTGAAGCTTATTAAAAATGCAGATGTCCTCTTAGGTACAGTTACCTGCTCAGAAATGCGATGGTCACTCACCCTTAGAGACACACGCAAATAGGTTGAAAACCCTCAACTAGACCACAAATGAATCATGGCATGCGTTTTTATAATTAAATTTATATGGTGAACATGAAGCTTTGGGTATGACCTTATCTTTGCGTCGATTTGGCAGGAACAAAAAGCGTAGTGTGACCACGTAAACCACGTTGGGACCTTTAATCGAGTATTTATGCAAATCGCGTATCAAAACACCAATTCCGTGCGATAAGCCGCAATTTTGCAATAAGATTGTCCTCTCTGTTTATGGAATGCGACACGAACTACTCATGCAAATCATTTGAACTAAATTTTTTGAATGCTAGTCCTTGCAAAATTGCGCAACTAACGCAATTAGTTCAGGTGTTTGTCAACCGATGTGAAAGTAACGTAGATGCGTCGGAATGTATACATCAAAACTCAAAATTAGGAAGTTCCTGGCTGGAATACAAGCCATTTAATTAATATGCCACGCGAAGAGCTTTTGATTGCAAGTTAATTTGATATTCAAAGACAGCCGAATGCTATAACAGTTATTCAAAATGATTGTCGGCAAAAAAAGATGAATTTACCTTTCTCCTAAGTCAAATTGAATGTGGTCAACAAACTACAGTTTTTTATTGTAAAAGTATTGTAAAGAAAAGTTTAACATTAAATAGTTTTGAGGGCGTATGTGTAACATCGTAAATCATCACAATCACAACCCGTCTTTGAAAGTATTTCTGTTTATATTCCCACCCCTAAAGTTCACAGTCTAACCCCTGTAGATATTATCGCCTCATTCGTCACTGTCTTGGTATTAGTTGAGGCTTCAATTGCAATCGAAGTTTAGATTTAAACCCATCCCACTGAACAATTTTAACCAATTAATTAAAACGGTTTTGATGCCAAAATACTCCTGTAGGTACTAAAATTTCCAGGCATAGGTAACATCTTCCTTCGGCGCTCTCGTAGGTTGACTCAATTCCAGTATTGAATGCGTCTGTATTAAAAAGTCTGTTATTAGAAATAATTTCAATTGTTTCTTTGTTCGCTAACTAATTTTTCCAATTGAATTTACCGTTAACGTCAGGAATACGAATTTTCCAATTAATTGTTCTTCTGTATTGTACAACGTTTACTGGTGTTCTATCATAATCTTGTCTATGGTTTCTTCTATCTTGGTTTTCATGGTTTCTGATATTTTCGTGATAATTGTTTCGGTTTTGGTAATGCCTCTGATCTTGAGATCTCTTTTTTCATAATTTTGTCCATTATATCTTTTATGTGGGTTTTCTCGGTTTAGGTTTTGATAATTGCATTGATCTTCGTCTCTTCTATCTTGGTTCTCTCAGTTGTCTTACTGATAATTTCTTCTAAAGTGTGGATTGATTTCTTGTATCCTTTCTAGTGTATTTAACAGATTCTGGACTGTCTTCTCTCCGAATCCAATCAAGACGTTTTTCACCTCTTGAGGGAAATGTCTTGTCAAGGCATTGGCCAGTTATTCTTCTCTGAGTGGGGGACAAAAATGCGCTGTCTAGTACTACACAATATGGTCTATGCAACTCCCTCTTCTAGAATCATATAATTTTGGTGTTGTAGTCTCAATCTGATTTATCTTGAGCCTGTTCTGTCATAAAGTCTTCCTTAAATTTCTTGATGTTGTTCCATTCTTTGCTTTACAGTTGTGACGAGCAATTGGCATTGTCTTTCAATAGCTCAATTACGCTGTTGACTGTCTCATATTTTCCACCGCCTACATAAAATTGATGGGATGACAATTTCTGGGGTTACCATAAAATTTCTTCGGATTTTTGAACTGTTCAACTTAAGTTTTCTTTAATGATTTACACATATTCGAAATATTTTTCATATTTCTTGTCCAGTTCAGTAAATTTTCGAACTATTATTTTCTTGAATTCTTAGTCTACTTGTTTTGCGTAAATCCTATATGTCGCTGGTGGAGGCCTTCCTTCTTCTATTCTTGTACTTTTTGGTTTCTTATTTCGTTTCGCAATTGTTTCATGTTCTTTTATTGGGATCTAATAATCTGTCTCTATTTTATGTTCCATTTGTCCACCTCAATTCCATACGATTACTGTAATACTTTTTGTTTCTTGTTTCTTACACATTTTCTTCGTTACTCCGCTGGTAGATGATTCGAATCCCACGACTCTTGGGTGACATTTTATAACGGACGCTTACAATAAAAGGATTGATAATGTTGTCAGGCTCGCAATGAATAAGTATTTTTGTTATTTGTTCGTTGCATTGTTGCTGAAGTACCTTTGGAACTTACCTTTTTTGTGTACTTTTACTTCCAGCTAGCTCAGGTAAATAAATGATTTAAGCATAGGAAGGAATTTCGTTAGTTTTTCTCTCACTTGGTCATTGAACCCTTGATTCGATGTGAATGTTTAGTGAATATAGTCGCCGAAAACTCCCAAAGAGGAAATGTCTTGAGCTTGGTGTCTGGTAGATTTCCACTGTTGTTTCCAGGAATAAAATGTACCTAAGCAGCTGTATCGAAATAGGAGATTTTTCGCATTTTAATTGATCGATCCTCTTATCGATTCGAATAAGTTTCACTGTAGGTAAACAAACCGCTAGCAGTAAACAAAATGCGAGCGGTAAACAACGCGTGTTGATGGTCGATTAAGTCTTAACGTCGCACCGTTAAAAATATGCGCTACGTCAACTTCACGCAATGACGCTCGACTTAATCTATCTCCCGCGGGCGAACTGTCGTCTATATTCGCATCGCTATCTTTCCGTTTCGCTCACATACCAGTTTAATATGGTAAACAGCAGATTTTAAAATAAAAAGCAACATACCCCGACTCGGACATTTACCACATTATTTAAAGTTCCCTAAAAATAATGAAAAAGAATAATTAATCTCTATATTAATTGCTTACTAAGTTGCAAGGTTGAAATTAATTACTCCATTTATACCTAGTAGTAGCTCTGAAGTTCTACGTGAAATTTCAGCATTTTGTATTTTTTTTGGGTCATACTGAGCAACCAGGTGATTTACACAGCAATGTAATTAAATATTGATTGAAATATTATTACAGTGTTATCGTACAACTGGTACGATAGAATTAAAATTGAAATAACTAACCATTCTATAATGAAAACAAAGTCGTATTGTTCATAACAATCATAGTGCGGTGAGAACAGAAAATATTAACAGAGTCAGATAGTCAAAAATGGAGCAATTAATTCTACACTTGCAATTTATTAAGTAATTAATATAACCGTTTAACCGTTTAACTTACCACATAAATTAATTCAAAACTTGTAGTTTACTAAACAAATAGAAATATAAGATGTTACCAAAACGTTAGTACCAAATTCTACCATTCTTGTTTATTTATTTTGAGCGTAAATGCATTTTAGTAATTTGTGGGGGTTAATTTTATAAACAAATTGTGCCAAATGGATCGAGCAAGAAATTCGAGAAGAAATTCGACGTCGTAGGAACAAAATTAGCAATAAACAAGCGTTTGTTATGTGCTAGGTTAAAGGACAATTATATAATTATAAAGTGTACGTTCAATGTAAAGACGCTATTTAGGTAATAATAATTTTAGCAAACATGACTTATGTAAATTTAAACGTCAAAACATCCACATGTGAGCTTAGATTCAAGTTTACTTTTTTTCGATTTATAAATTGTTGTTTCATAAATTCAATGACAAAAATTAATTAACGTTGCGTGGGTATCGTGTATACCAGTACCAAGTGTCGCAGCCAAAATATGCATCCCCAATTAAAAGCAAATGATTAATGAAACAAATGATTCCAATTTCATACAGAAACTGGTGGGTAACTGAAAGAAGCCGTATTTTTTGCAAACTTTTTCTTAATTGAACCAGGGTGATAGAAACGAACTGTACCATTAAAGGCCAGTCTGCTCTAAAAGTTTTACTAAAAGCTCTTGATACGCTGCTGACGTATCCAGGTTGATCTTGTTGGCAAAGTTCACGCAAGTGTCGATTTGATACTTTTTTTGACACTGTTGCTGTACGATCTACAACACTACCAAAATAAATTTCTTGAGAATATTCTCTACTGAATACGGTATATTCTTATTAATGGACGTATTTTTATGCAATGTTAATCGTAGACGCTTTTAAGGAAGCGTCTATATAGTCATTGATACAGTGTCGCTGATAACGGTCGATTATGGGGAAAAATATACAAGATATCAAAAAAAAGTAGCAAAAGTTTTGGGGTTTTTTGATGTCTACCTAGTAGGCGATAATAATTTTAATTATACAAATTATATATTATACAATATTGCATTTTTTTAATGAAACACCTTGTACATTATTTGATTTTTAAGCAAAATTTGTAAGATGCGTGATGTACCTACATGAATTCAATCGATTCCGGGTTATCAAGTTTTGAAATTTAACGCAGATAAGTTTGGAAACGGTCTATTATCGGGGAAAATATACAAGATATCAAAAAATCAAAATCTCACGAATGTAATCAATCATCAGTTAGATGTTAGTAGCAAATAATCAGTGTAATTTTGATATGGTCGAATTAAAATTTTTATTCATTAAGAATTGCGGATAGAACTGTAAATAATCATTAACATTTGCCATAGGTAAGTCATAACCTCGTTGTACTGTCAATATTAGAAATATCGTAAACATCTCTGTGGGGAGTCATAATTGCTAAAATCTTGGTTTGGGATGTATTGTGTATCAGCTG